TGCTGTTGCTGTTGCTGCTGCTGCTGCTGTTGCTGCTGTTGCTTGTGGTGCATACAGCTGAGGCACCTGCCATGTTACCCTTGAACTGAATACTGAATCATACAAAACACTAACAAAAGAACACACCTCCCCCTGCAGCTTACAGAGTGATAGAGTAGACAAGTCTGCTGGGGGCCCCTGCTGCATCGAGCCATTGACTGTATCTTTATTATCTATAGATATATCTATATCTGCATGCGGCAAAGAAGAAGAAACAGAAACAAAACCTTCATGGGCCCCTTCTGATGAGAAACTCACTGATGGGGCTGATGCTGCTGATGCTGCAGATACAGCTGAATCAACGGGAGAAGGAGGATCGAGGGCAGATTGATGGCTTCTTGTTTTTCTCCCGCTTGTTCTATCCCGAAGGGTTTGTGTTGGGGGAGATAGAGTAGCAGACCTACGTTTACCCAAGTCTTGCTGCTGCTGCTGCTGCTGTTGCTGCTGCTGTTGCTGCTGTTGCTGCTGTTGCTGCTGTTGCTGCTGCTGAGCATGCGGTGCGTGAGAAGCAGCACCAGCAAGACCTGCTGCTGCTGGTAACGAGGCAGCTGTAGCCCCTCCCGCTGCAGCAGCAGCAGCAGCTGCTGCTGCTGCTGCTGCTACTGGGGGCCCCCCACCCCCTATCGAAGAACGAGCAGTAAACTCCTGAATCAGCAGCTCCTGCTCCGCTGCTGGGCGGGCCTCTAATGCAGGGGGGCCGACGACAGGGAGGTCTACATATTCGTAGCCAGGGGGTGCCTGTAGATCTGCTGCTACAGCTGCTGCTGCTGCTGCTGCTGCTGCTGCTGCAGTCTTGCGCTGGTTCTGTCCCTCAACAAGAAAACGAACTAAACCTGCCTGTACACCCGACGAGACCAGAGGAGACACCACACCGCCCCCGCGGCCCGCACACGGCAGATCAAAGGCGATGCCGCTTATGGGCTGCTGCTGCATGGCTGAGCTGGCTGCGGCAAGGAATGATGACGAAGAAGCTGCTGCTGCTGCTGCTGCATCTTCTGCTGCTGCTGCTGCTGCTGCTGCTGCCGCTGCGCTCGAAGCACTCGCCGCCTCGGACGTACACCTGAAGTCGCGATGCTGCTGGCGTGCACTGGAGTATGCGCTTGAATGGAGAGGGAAACCAGCGTTTGTGTTTGCTGCTGCTGCTGCTGCTGCTGCTGCTGCTGCTGTTGCTGCTGTTGCTGTTGGTGTTGCTGTTGCATTGGCTGCACTTGCTGCAGTATTACTCGTTGAGACGGCAGCACCAGCCGCCCCCCAGGGTCCCCCAAGACCACCATTTGCTGCTGGGCCGCCGCCCCACTGCAGTGCAGCAGCAGCAGAAGGCGCGGGAGGAGGCAGCAGACAAGCTGCTGCTGCTGCTGCTGCTGCTGCACTATTACCTATTGCTGGTGCTGCTGCACTGCGGCTGGTGCTGCCGTTGGTCATCTGCTGCGCGGACAAACAACGAAGCGCCAGGGATGCGTCCGCTGCTGCAGCAGCAGCTGCTGCTGCTGCTGCTGCAGCAACAGGAGCCACACAAGCAGACCCCTGGCTGCTTCGTACTGTCATCATGTTGCGGAATGGGCCGCTAAACGCGGAGCTCGCCGCGACCTCCGGCTGCTGCGGATGCAGGTGGCCGTCCATTGCCTGTCCTTGGGACCTTCTCCGCTGCTGCTGCTGCTGCTGCTGCTGCTACTGCTGCTGCTGCTGCTGTTGCTGCTGCTGTTGCTGCTGTTGCTGCTGCTGCGGCTCTAAAGGCCGAAAGAAAGAAATACAAAAATACTCAATAATCCCAAAAAGATAACAAGTCGCGAACTCGCACTGAAAAGGCTGTCACGATGGTTTCCGCCCACACTTGCATGCACGAGTATAAATATATAATTATAAATATATATTTATTCTGAATTGAGTTGAAATATAATATAATATAATATATATTTGTATGTATTTATATGTATTTATGTATGTGTATGTGTATGTGTGTGTGTGTGGGTGGGTTATGTGTGTGCTATACACATCAAGCCGTGCCTACAGCAGCACCCAGCAACAGC